GAAGGAAGGAAGGAAGGAAGGAAGGAAGGAAGGAAGGAAGGAAGGAAAGCTGAAGCCAGGATGATATAATAATGAGGGGTTGGGTTTAGATGCAGAGACTCAGATTCTAGATCCAGTTTGGTTATGGAGCTCATGAGGTAATCCAAAAATAATCATATTTCTTCCCTTAACCTAACTTATAGGTTTTATGTGTCATTTGACCATGGATATATTGTTATTTGTAAACCAATGTAAATCCTTGGGGAACAAATAAGAATCTCAGAATCTTTGTGAGATTTTAGGCTTTTGAAAGTTGGGGGGATTGTAAAAATGGCTATGGCAGATTCCCACTGTCCCTGTTTATTAGGCTTATACATATAGTCCTTGAATTACAACAGTTCATTTAGTGACCATTCAAAGTTACAACAGCACTGAAAAAAGTGACTTGACCATTTTTCACACTTACAACCTTTGCAGCATCCCCACAATCGCATGATAAAAATTCAGGTGCTTGGCAAGTGGTTCATACTTATGACCATTGCTGTATCCCAGAGTCATGTGATTCCCATTTGCGACCTTCTGACAAGCAAAGTCAATGGGGAAATCCAGATTCACTTAACTGGTTAAGTTATTAGCTTATTAACTGCAGTGATTCACTTAACAGTGACAAGAAAAATCGTAAAATGGGCCAAAACTCACTTAAGAAATGTCTCTCTTAACAACAGAAAAGTTGGTGTCAATTGTAGTTATAATTGCTGGTCCGGTGGAAGCTTCTGAGGCAGGTTCTTGCCCTGTTATCTGGGAACTGTTTGACCCTGTTGCTCCTGAGGAAGTGGACAGGATCCTAGGGAGGATGCGCGCGAGCACCTGTATTTTAGACCCATGTCCCTCCTGGCTTGTGAAAGCTTCTCAGGAGGTGACAGGCGGGTGGACTCTGGCGGTGATTAATGCTTCTCTACAGGAGGGGATGGTGCCCCAGCACTTTAAGGAGTGGTCTGCCCTCTTCTTAAGAAACCATCGCTGGACTCTACCCGGTTGGGTAATTTCTGACCTGTCTCCAATCTTCCCTTTTTGGGGAAGGTTGCTGAGAAGGTGGTCGCGCAGCAGCTTCAGAGGTTTCTGGATGAAACAGATTATTTCAATCCCTACCAGTCAGGATTCAAGCCTGGATTTGGGACAGAAACTGCATTGGTTGCACTTTTGGATGATCTCTGGTGGGAGCGGTATGGGTGTAATGCATCCATCCTTGCTCTACTTGATTTCTCAGCGGCTTTTGATACCATTGATCATGGTACCATTCTCCTGGGGTGACTTCGGGGGATGTACTGTCTTGATTCAGTTCCTTCGTCTGTGTTGATAGGAGGGGAGAGATCCAGCCCTTGCCCACTGTTTTACGAGGTTCCGCAGGGCTCGGTACTCTTTCTGCTCCTGTTCATCATTTACATGAAGCCACTGGGTGAGATCATCCATCACCATGGACTGTGGTATCACCAATATGCCGATGATACGCAGCTGTATGTCTCGGCCTGTGGTGAGTTAAGTGTTGCTGTGTCCTCTCTCACAGTGTCTGGATGGGGAGCAACGGGTTGAAACTAAACCCTTGCAAGACCAAATGGCTCTGGGTTTGGGATTTGTTGGCTCAGGGAGAATTACCACCTTTAGTCTTGGATGGGGTGGCACTACCCCAAACAGATCCTGTGTGTGATCTAGGGGTTTTCCTGGTCATGGCCAGGAGAGCCTTTGAGCAACTGCGGGTTGTACACCAGTTATGCCCTTTTCTAGACCAGCGGTCCCTAGTCACAGTCACTCATGCTCTGGTCACTTCCTGTCTTGATTACTGCAACAAGCTCTACATGGGGCTTGAAGAGCATCTGGAAGCTCCAGTTGGTACAAAATGCAGCGGCCTGCATGGTTTTGTTCAGACCCCGGTATACACATGTGTCACCTCTCCTGCAGGAGCTGCATTGGTTGCCGATTTGCTTCCGGGTGCAATTCAAGGTGCTGGTTGCCACCTTTAAAGGCTTTCATGGTTTGGGTCGTTATCTGAGGGAATGTCTCTTGCCAGTCACATCTACCTAAGCCATTAGAGCAAGGAGGCAGGGAATGTTGTGGGTCCCATCCCTGAGGAAGATATACCTGCTGGGACCCAGAAGGAGGGCCTTCTCCACGGTGGCTCCCTCTCTCTGGAATATCATTCTTCCAGAGATTAGAATGGCCCCCACTCTAGCACTCTTCCGAAAGGCACTGAATACCTGGTTTTTCCAGCGAGCCTGGGGAACCCAGAGAGGGATGGAGCCCATCAAATGGCTAGTGTGATCTGCTGTCGTCGGGGCGGGGGTGGAGGGTGGGAGTTGGGGGGTGATTTTTTTATTTTATTTTTTCCAGATTTTGTTCTATTGTACTTATACTAATTTATTTGACTCTTTTTGTTAGTTTTTTATTTTTTTTATTTTTATTTTTTGTTTTAAATATGGTTTTACATTGCATAAGCCACCTCGAGTCGCCATGGGCGAATAGGCGACAATATAAATTAAATAAATACATAAATAAAGTTAAGGACTGTCTATATACCGCCTTTGTTCAAGGGCTCTTGAGGATGTACCTAGCTTTCTGTTCTACTATTTCCCAAACAAATATAAGGTAGATTGCAAAGGGGGAAAATGACATGAGGTACTAGATAATGAATTTAAGACCTGGGACCCAGTTGTGTTTAGAAATAGTTAATCTTTTCTGATCATGGCCTATAAAAGCCATTTGTTTCCCTCTGAAGCAAACCTGAGAGCACTAAAAACAATATTGACGGGGAATAGGAAAACACCCCCCCCCCCAACAAAACTAAGATAATTTGAGGTGCTGATCCTAGCTCCATTTTAATTCAGACAGAGAAAAGCTTTGAGCAGCTTCAAGGAATCAAAGTGATGCTTTGTGGTGGCGATGACAGCAGTAAAAACATTCCAGCCAAGCTACAAAGATAACATTTTCTGGAGAGGATTGGGAAAGGGGGAAGGAAAAAGAGGATGACCAGTTCTAAGTTCTCAGTAAGGGCTAAATGGAAAGCTACGTGATTTGATGGCACATAACTGGGCAATCACTTTCAAGTGTATTGTATTATTTCAATTTTTGTAAATTGTACTGTAATCCTGTTGAAAGAAATTTTTTTTTTAAAAATCCCCAAACTGGCCTATTCAATTTTCAGAACTGCTCTACAACAATACATTTGCTCAAACAGGAAAGAAGGAAAAGAAAGCCACGGAAGACATTCCCTCCCCCTTATTAAACCAATGTAGTTACCGATTGGTCCCACTAAGAAAAATTTAAGGACCAAAGTATTCAAAACGGAATCACATCTGGTCATGGTCATACCGATCATCTCTTGTCAAGCAGGATTGGGGGGGGGGGGGGAATGCATCCAGCAACAAAATCCGTGCCGCAATAAAAGCGCCACCTGGGAAAGAGCCCGAGGAAGTCCGCCTTGCACTTTCCAAAACAAACTCTCCCAACTGTTTTCCGAAGGAGACTTGCTCCCTCTAGCGGCTAACGTGGGAAGGGCAAAGGCGCGCCGAGAGACCTGTCCAACCTCCCCGAAAGCGCCTTCGGCTTGTGACGTGAGCCGGCGCCTTTTTGGAGCATGCGCGAAGAGGCCGCGTTGGTTTGGTCCTTATGGCTTGCCGTCGGTGGAAGGGACGCGCGGTGCGGCGGTTTTGGAATCGGCGGAAGCCATGGCGGCCGCTGAGGGGGAGAGCGACGCCTTCGATGCTATCGTCATGGCAGAAACGAGGTAGGGCGCCGCCACTTCCCCGCTTTCGTTTTGGCACTGAACGGGATGGGAAAGGCGTGTCTCTAACCGCGGGGAAGGCCAAACGGAACCGAGTAACGGCATCCTCCCTTCAGCTCCTTCCTCTGTTTTAATGTCTCCCGCAAAAAGCGGGAGAAATTCGTTGCTGAGGGTACGTTGAGGTTTTCCTGCCAAGTGGCTCCTCCGGTACGATTCGGTTTGGTGAAGGGTCGCTCTGGGTAGAAAGAGTGCAGAGAAGAGCAGCAAAGAGGATTATGGGACTGAAGGCTAAAACACATAAAGCAGGGGCCCCCAACCTTGGCAACTTTAAGACTTGTGGACTTCAACTCCCAGAATTCTTCGCCAGTCCTTTACCTCTGCATGATAGAATTTCTGATTTCTTTCTCTTCACCTGGTCTTGGCAGAGATATGAGACAAGGGAAACGTTTTATATGCCAAATTTCTACATACTGAAGTTTAAAAAAAAAATCTTGGGTGGGAATTTGGCTCAAGCAATTCAAGCCCTTATTCAGAAAAGAAAGGCTTTAGGTTAAGGTTGCCAAACTCGTGGCCCACGGGTTGGATGCATCACACGCTGACCATGCCCAAACCTGGTTTAGCAAAGGGAAAAATATGTCACATGATATTCCTGCTTTAGGTCATCTAGGACAGGGGTCGCCAACCTTTTGGACCTCAGGAACCACCAAACTCATAATTTTAAATCCCAGGGACCACTAATATGAATTTTGACTAATGATAGCTTGCTGAGGTTGGAGAGAGAGACAGAGAGAGAGAGAGATCTAATCTAACACGCCCCCTCCTCACAGACACACACACACACACACACACACAGGCAGGGGTGGGATTCAAATTTCTTAACCGGTTCTTAGGTGTGGCCTTGTGGGTGTGGCTTGGTAGTCATGTGACTGGCTGGGTATGGCTTGTATGTAAATATTATAAATATTGATGTAAATATTGATTTTTTTTATAAAAAGCCATTTTTACCCCAAAGGCAGGCAGGCAGATTGAGTTGCTCACAGAATTACAGATTCACTTAGAGATCTGTGTTTCTGCCATCTGCTATCTGAGTCTGTACCTGAATAATAGAAGTTTCAGTCCTAAGGGAGGTTCAGCTCTGCTTAGAGCCCAAGATCTAAAGATTAGCTAGAAAGCAAGAAATGCAACAATTTCCTGCTTTCTAGCTAATCTAAATCTCCCGGAACAGCAGAACAGCTGATGGGAGGTGGGGAGGAAAAATAGTAATTTAGCAGGCAAGTTTACCAGGTAAGGAGTGGGCGGGTGGGGAGGGTTTCCGCAGGCCATGTGGGCGGCACAGCCTTGTGTTCCCGCACAGTGTGGATTAATTGCTTTGGGGGGTGCTCTGGAGGTGACATTTCTCTGCGGACCACCAAAATTTTCTTGCGGAACACCAGTGGGCCACGGACCACCGGTTAGCGACTACCGATCTGGGAAATTGGTTACTCTTTTTGTTTTCCTTAACTGCAAAATGAGTTGGCTCACAAGGATAGTACAGTGTAATGAAACTGATAATTGTCATAGGTTCTCTCAGGGTAGTGGCCTTCAACTGTATTGAATTGCCATCTCCATCACTCTTTTTAGCCATGCTGATCAGAAGGTGAAAGTTTGACATCAATAGGCTTGCTGTTATATTACCTATACAGTACTCTCTTTATTCCCCAGGGCTCATAACAGCTTGTTTTGGTGCATCCTTATAGTCATGTGTTTTAATTTAAAGGAGATAGAAATGTGTTTTGTGCTGTATTTGTTTTGCAGTTTTAACGTATTTTTTTTTTTAAGGCAAATAGTTTTAAAAGGTTGCCTAGGGTTTTTTGGAAGTTAGGCATAAAGTAGTCTGCAGTGAAAGAATTATTGGAAGATATAATAGGATACATTACAGGTTCAGTAACATTGTGAATGCGATGCGAATCAGTTCAGTTATGTTGAATGGCAAAAGCCATAATTAAGTTACATGTTTAGAAAAAGGAAAATAAATATGACAATGCTGGCCCACATCAATTTTACAATTTGTTACCATTATAATTTAACAAATTTAGATTAAATTTGACTACATCTCATTCTATTTCAAAAATCAATCATACAGTTGATGTTTTCATACAACTGGTTTAGAAGTATAGTGCCATAAAACTTCAATGTTGCTTTAAATTTTTTTAAGTATTGAAAATTATTAAAGTGATCCTGTTTTACTGTAGATTACAAATGGAATGAGATAAATATTTTACATTAATGGAATTCTTTCTTGTACAATTCATTGAAAGAAGAATTTGAAGATAACACTATTTGCTACTTACTATTTGCTATTTATGAAAGGACCAATTTTAAATTCTTAATAAATGTACAATATGTAATTATATTTTAATAGAACACAACAAAATTGATTCTAAATATGGTTAAAGGCACCAAACTAGAAACTAGGAGGTCATGTGTTCTAATCCCAATTAGAGCTATGAAAGCAAGTTGGGTGACCTTGAGCCAGTCACCACTCAGAACTGACTCAATTCCGAAAATTATTGTGAGGAAAGTAGGAGGAAGGTATGTTGGATATGTTTGCTGCCTTGTCTTTTTTGTAAAAGTAATAATAAAGACAAAATACAGATGAAAAAAATATTAATCAGAGAAGAGCCTTATAGAATTCAATACTTACATCTAAGCAAGTATGTATGTCATACTTTATATGGGATTATAAGCTAAATATATATAATTATAAGCTATAATATGTTCAGTGTGTTATATAACATTGCTTAAATCCTTTGGAAATCAGTTGGAATTTACAGGATTATGTGGAATAAACATGCATGACAGTTAAGTGAAAGAATACATTTATATGGCTTGCTCTTTCAAAACAGATTTCATGGTGAAGGCTATCAAGATGGTTATGCTGAAGGAGTCCAGGCTGGTATTGTGGAAGGAAGGCAACATGGAATACAGCAGGGTGCCAGAATTGGCTCAGAAGTATGTTTTAAAAAACAAAAAAATAGTTTTTTTTATTAAAGAAGCAGTATTCTTGTCAATGTGTATAGGCTGAAATGTTACATTAATTTATAAATGAACTTTGTAGTTTTTATAGCTCTGTAACTATAAACATGAAAATTAATGTTAGTGGGTTTAAAATAAAACGATCACTTCTCAAATTTACAGATAGGCTCATACCTTGGTTTTGCACTGACGTGGCAACAGTTGCTTCAGAAAACTTCAGATGAAAAATGCAGGTAAATTTGTGGGGACGGGAACATCAAAATTCTGTTACCTAAGTATGGGACACCTTATTGTCAAGAAAGTTATCTGATCTAGTGGGGAATTCTCAAAGGAAGAATGCTGATTTTGGAAAAAGATTTTTATCATTTTTCCTGCTCTATTGGAAATTTGTTCTGGAGGATTGAGCAGTTGCTGTAATTGTAAAATATGTAGAATTGTAGCAGCAGAGAAAAGAAAATCAGTACTTTGATTATATCTATTATCCCCTATTATCCTCCACTTTTTTCCCTTTCTATCAGTGGCATCATTCTCAACAAATCTTTGTTCAGTAGTTCATAGAAGGATAGTCCATATTCAAATGCTTTTCTATGGATTTAGTTGGTTCCCAGAAAATAGTGCTGAAAGAGTATATCCACAATTGTACCAGGATGATAATTGGATGTGACTTCAGTGTGTACCAACAAACACGCAGAAATGTTTTCAGATGCTTTTAGTTTTCAGATGTTTTCAAGTACAGCAACCTGTGGTGTTTGTTGAAACTGACATTTTTATCAGTCTTATTGAATTTAGTTGTTTAAAGTTACTACACTTTTCATTTTGATTTTGATTTAATAAAATAAATTTATTAAATGTATATGCTGCCTAACTAGTGTTTCTGGATGTTTACAGTTGTTAAAACTTTTAAAAAATGGAACAGTGCAAAAAAATATGAACATAGCAAAGAAAAAAATCCCGATGAGTGGCACTGTTTAATTGATTGACACTGGAGTATGCCAACCCTGCTGGATTGAAACAGTTGGTTAAATACTATAGGAAACAGGAGACCTGATCCTCTCTACTATGTAGTTTGTTATAGGTAGCACCCTGTACTTATCACACCTGGAAGCAAACTGGCAGTGCAGCTTGTGAAGATGTGTTACATGGACATACTGAGAGGTGCCTATCTCTATCTGTGCTGCTGCATTGTGAACCAGGGTTGCAGTAATCAAACTGAGGTGACTGTATGAGCGTCTATCTGAAGGACTCCATGGGCTAAGAAAGAGTACAGTAGATGAACCTGGGTAAAAGCCTTTGTGGCCACAGCTGCCACATCTCACTGAGTAGAAATGTGACTCTAGGAGACCCTCCCAAATTGTGCACAGTCCTTGAATTGCGAAGAGCAACCCCATCCAAAATCAAAGTGAATATCCCCAGATCTGGGAAGTAAAAACCTGCCTCCAGATACTGGAACAGAATCTCAACACTTTCACTTGGCTGCCTCAGAATCAAAATATATAATAGATATAATCAAAGTACTGATGATACTGAACCCCAAATTGGTGGTGTCTCATTGGTCAGAGGTCTCATGTAAATGTTGAAAAAGAGGGGAGAGAAAACAGAACTTGAGGTATTTCACAAATGAGAGGCCTAGGGAACAATCTCTCACCACCAAGTAACACCAACGAGTCCCGGAGAAAGGAATGTTTCACTGTAAAATGGTGCTCCCATCCCCAACCCATGGAGCTGGCTCAGAAAAATACTGTGGTTGATATCAAAAGCCACCAAGAGATCAAGGTCCATAAAGGTGACCAAAGTTGTCTCAGTACTAAATCCCAGCTTGAAACTTGACTGGAATGTGTCCATATAATCCATTCCTTAGCTGCAGACTGACTACCTTTTGAGCAACCTTACCCAAAGAGGGAAGGTTGGAAACTGGTCAATAGTTATTGAAAACCATTGGTCCATGGATGGCCTCTTGAGAAGGGGATATATCTCTGCCTCTTTCAAGGTTGGGGACAAACACCACCCCCTTCATCAAGGAAATTGACGCTACTGCATGCAATGCGAATCATTTTCCTTGCTGTTTTCATAACCTAGGAGGAACCTGGATGCAGGAAGTAAGTGGCTGAGTGGATAGTAGAGAGAGCCCTGTTTGTTTTCTAGGATTCACCACCTCAAACTCATCTTAGATCATATCACTAGGTTGCACTCCAGTCACTGCAGCCTACGCTGTATTATTGTAGCACACTGGAAGTGCCTTGGAATTGGTAAACTATTTAGATTGTGCAAATGCAGTTTCCATTTCCCTTTTCTGTTAAAAAGATGGTTTTTAATTGTCAATAATTACTAAAGATCTGAGAGAGGAGATCAAATGTAAAAGAATATCTATGCTTTATTATTTGGAATTTGTCATTTTCAGTTTTGTGAATGGGGGATGGGTGGTTTAAGTTTTACCTCATTTTTCTTAAAGTGTTACTGCTTTATAAAGTTATCATAAAATAAGAGAATGAAACTCCATTCATAGGCAGATTGTTCCAAAATCATTCATTCATTCATATATGATGAAATGCTACAAAACAAATATAGGAACATTTTCTACAGTGACTTCCATTATCTGGTGACAATACTGCCTAGAAGATGTGGATTTGGAGAAGGATTGAAATACATTTGGCAGGGAGCAAATGTTCTGAACTACAAACACATACCACCTGCTTTGTTAATGGATGTAAAGAAGGAAACGGTTGGAATTGATCCATAATTCTAAATAGTCTTGAGTGTTTTTATGCCAAGCTGTATAATTTGTCTTCATAAACACCATTGATTCTAAATGCTGTAATGTTAGTGCATTATTTGAATCTGTATTATAATTAATATTATTAATGATAGTGAACAATAGTCTTGGTTTCATGACCCATCTTGTGAGTGTTAGAACAAACGGAAGTAGTAAACTATATTAAAGCAGATGGTATGTAGATGGACTTTGAAAATAACTGTGTGTGACATTATTAAATCAATTTTGTTTCAGTAAAAAGATAAAAGTCCTGGAGCAGTTAATAGAGATGATTCAAAACTTTCCTTTGGAAGATCCAGTTTATGACAAACTTCAAGATGACTTGGAGAAAATTAGGGGACGGTTTAAACAAGTATGTGCCCAATTTCATTGTTGGAATACAAACTGTACTCATCATGTGTTCAAAACAAATAACATTATTGTAATGGAACATTACAGGAACAGAGGAAGGTGATATCTAATATTTAATTAAAATATTAACATTTCTAAATTTCTTTTCTTTTTAGATTTGCTCATTATTGCACATTCCATCTGATTTAAGACTTGGTTCTGAGAGAATTTCATTTTCATTTTGAAAGTAACATAAAAAGAAAATTGCTGTTGGATATAAAGAATGGTTACTTCTCACACAGAGTGATCATCTTTTCTTTTCTACCCAGTGAGCAGAAAACGACAAAGATAAAGCTAATAACTTTATATTATTATACTCAAATTGTATCATTGTTTTAACTTGTACATTCAAGCTCAATGGTGGCTTCAGCCTGATGGTTAACATACTCTTCCAGAAATTAATGTTACACATTAATATTACAGAAGAAAATTGGTCTATGGAACATCAGCTAAATAGTGTTTTTTTTTCTTCAATTGTGTCTGATTCCTAGAGACAGCCTGGAAAAGTCCCTGCAGGTTTTTTGGCAAGAATTTTTCAGAAGTGATTTGCCCTTGCCTACTTCCTAAGGCTGAGAAAAGTGGCTGGCTCAAGATCATCCAGCTGGCTTTGTGCCAAAGATGGGACTAGATCTCATGGTCTTCTAGTTTTTAACCTGAAGCCTTAAATATTATACCAATCTGACTCATTAATAACCTATTGCCACCATTTATATTTAAAAGGTGATTGTAAGTAGTCCTCGACCTATGATCACAATTGGGATTGGGGCTTCTGTCATTAGATGTGTTTTTTAAATGATAAACACCTAATTTTATGATCTTTTTTGCTGTAGTCAATAGGTGAATCAGTAGTTAAATCAATCTGTCTTTCCCATTAACCTATGGGAAGTTGACTGGAAAGATTGCAAATGGCAAGCATGTGACCTGCTGTTGTAAGTACATGCTGGTTGCATGGATCACATGACTAGGAGTGCTGCAGTGGTCATATAACACTTTTTTCAGTGCTGTTGTAACTACAGATAGTCACCAAATGAATGGCAAGATGAGGATTATCCATAAAGCAGCTTAAGAATTTTAAAGTAGATTTTGTAAACACTCTGAAAAGTGCCTTCCTAAAATAGGCATTCTGTAGGAAGTGAGTAAAATGTACATATTTCACTATATTAGTGCGAAGACCACAAATTTGAAACATGTTATCAGTGTATCTAGTTTTACAAGTGTATCTCAGATGGGGTGTGTACTTTATTTGTAAATTAATTTTGGAGGCTCCCAGATAAACTGATTTTTCTGTTAGTTGCTTTCTTTTTAGAAACAATAGTGATCACCATCATCATTATGAAAGTGCTAAGGTATATTTTGAAAATAAACTTTATTTGGAAGAAACACATGAAGACCTGTAGAGATTTTTGTATCTTGCAGAAAGTGCCTTCAGAGGCCAATCTGGCACTCTTGCTGCACAGTTTTATGAATAATTTTAATAGACAAGGTGAGATTCATTTGGCTTGTGGGCATGTTCTATTATGTCCTGTTTCCCTCTTATTATTTTCCTTCCCTTTGGCAGTTTAGAGGAAATAAGTTGCAAACTTAAGTCTACCAGCCCAAATACAGGCCGTTGTATGAGTTTTTATGCCATCATTTGAAATTGCATATTTATATATTTATTCATTTTTAAAGTATGCATGCTGCATCTCAGGCTCAGGCCTTCCTTGGATGGTTTACAGTGCTGAGAGACAACATACAAGAATAATAATTAAAATACAATAATGCAATCAGTGCAATAGTCAATTAGTAAGAATTACGATTTAGCATATATTTACCAAGTCCTGAAGTTGAAAGCTCTTTTGCCTGGCACTGAAAACAAAGGCAGCTGAAGGGGAGCAGAGTTAAAATTTTGTTTTGAAATGACAACATTTTTCTTCTTGCTTTAAAGTCCCAAGAGCTAAGCCCCTATCTTCAGTATGCTTTTTTAAATAAAAAGTTGAGTATATTTATTTTGAACAACACTATAGTAACTAAATCATGGGGGATGCATTTCCCATTCCTTGTACTGCATTGCTGTGTTGGTTGTTTTTGTTGCTTTGGGCTGACAAAGATCAGGAGAAACCTGAATTGTGTTAAAATCCTACTAAATTCCTTCATGCTGTATCTGTATGAATCAGATTAACTTTAAATTATTGAGATATTAGAAACCTCTGATTAGGGCCACCTAGTGGGAAAAATAATTATATCAGCTTTCAAACTTAAAATTCCTATGTTTTTGTTAGAAATGGTAAATCGTTTTAACTACATTGGCTTTAAGAAGAAAGTTTTTGTTTTAAAAAATGGAAGTGCAATAACTGAATATTTGCTAAGCAGCTGAAAGTTCATTTATATAGTCAATGGTAAATCTGATGCTTTACCCATAACTGAAATTATATTCACAATTGAATTGTTAGTATTGGTTGTATTGATCATAATATGGTTGGCCAAATTCACTGCCTGTTATGTGTTATATTCTGATATTTGTACTAAAATACTATTTTCTTCAAAGTGATTCTTGTTGTAATTCAGTCTGTTACTTAAAGTGGCCTTCTGTGAAAATTCTCTGTTTTAACCCATTTATTGATAATGTTTTTACTTCAGGGAAAAAATAATAATTAAAACACTAATATGGAAGCATATGGTTGATTTGCAATCAAAATACGTGCTTTTCAAGAGTCCTTTTTAATTTTCCAGAAACACTTTTGGATAATACAAGGAAGAAGCAAAAGATAGAGTATTTTGTGCAAAGAATTCTTTGTTCAAATACTATGATGTGCAAATAGTAATTTGTTCAAATACTATGGTAAGAAAAGTTTGTGACACTAGAACAAATGTTACTTTGAAGATGTCAGTTTTCAGAATATGACTTTTTGTACACCAACACTGTTACTGGTAAAATTATAACACATAATCGAAGTGGGTTTCCACAAGTTAGAGATTTAGGTTTTTACATACTATTAAATACCAAAACCTAATTATTATTTTTTAAAAGCTAAAACTTTTTTAAAAAAAGTTTTTAAAAACTGTTACGTTCAGTGTACCTCATTTTGGTGGAAAAGAGAAAAATTAATAACAAATCCACCTGCAAAAATTGCTTAGAAAAGGCATTGTTGGTTGCCTTATATGAACTTGATTTACACAACAGAGATTAATCTCAGTTTGAAAGGTTTCTGAAACCTAAGATCAAAAAATGCTTTTATATCTACCCCATTGTTCTTCATGCTACCAAATTAAATATACACTATGGCAAGTGCATAATGTCTTTTTCCAGGCGGCACTTTTAAGGTAAAGATTTAATTATATCAAAGACTGTACAGGGAGTAACACAACCCAGATCATTAACATGTATAAGAAATTACTCCCTTGTTTAAGAATTTGCAGTGATGTTTGACACAGACAAAAATGACCTTTCTGCTTTGATCCTAAGTAGTGCATTGCCTTTTGTTTTCCTAAGTATTATGTGGTACATTCAGCTAGATAACTGTTTGAATGTATTTGGGGAAAATGTTTGAGTATTTATTGAGATTTAGAATAAAAACTTTTTTAAAAACCTAAATGTGATGCTTTGCTTGACTTGGTGTAGCACATCTTGTTTTTGCATTGAATTTACTGTGTTCCTTCTCTGCACACCACCTGAACCCCTTGAAACATTATCAGAATATTTAAGAAAGATCGTGAAAATAATCAAATGCAATTAATATATAGATAGTATGTGAAAAATAGAAAATATTTCATTGAACAGTAGGCATTCAGACTTTTTTCAAACAGTAGAAAAGCCACTCAAAAAGTAATGTTTTTGTTTAGCCTATATTGTCCTGAAGAAAGCATTCCATATACATCTCTCATCAGGACAGGGGTAAGGAGATAAGGGAGAAGGATTTGCTTAAGATTTTCTAGCTTGCTACCAAAGGCTTTAATGTCAGCACCAAAGGATCAAAGAGGACCTGTAAGTTGATTGACTGCTGGCAAAGGACTGACAGAGTGGTCATATCACTTATTTCTAGTGAATAAACATGCAGTTTTATTTGAGTTAATTAAGTTTCCAAACTATCTTCTCATGCATATCCCAAGACTACAAAGGAGAGGTTACTGATAGAAATGAGGGCAGGATGTTAGGGCTCAAAAGAGGGACTATTGGTAAATCAGCCTGTTGATACAGTTAGCTTTTTTCCAATCTATGTCCTGATCTGTTGGACTGCAGTTCCCATATATTGGAGTCCCATTATCAGTATGTCTATCAACATGAAAGGAATATAAGATACCCGGGGAACGTTGTGGTGGGATTCGTGCAAGTTAATACGGTACAATGTTCTTTCTAATATTTTCAGTCTTTTCTTTCTGTACAGTGTCACATCTTTTCTGATCCAACCCACCTAACAAGATGGAAGGGGGAAGAACTAATTTTATTTATGCAATTTTTTATTGCATCCAGCATTGAAATCATTTTCGCTACTGTTGTATATGATTCATGTTGTCCTTTTCCGCATCTTCTTTAAATTGTTTAAACTGGGGGGGTCCTTAATTATACATGACATTCCAGCAGGAATCAGGAATGGTCAGATTCAGATTGCATCCGTGTAAGCATGACGCTTCTGGAAATGTTCTTTATTATTACAATTTTCCTCCTGAATTTGCCTTTTTCTCAGCAATTACAATCTAAATCGTTTTCATGGCATGAGCAATTATAATCCCAAACTCTCTTGATCAATCCCTTTTTGGGTCACAACTGAATTCAAATGGCTCTCATTCTGATGGCATTCTAGAAGGTCTTAAAGAATGTCCTCCCAGGCTTTGCAATAGGTTGGGTGGAATTCCTTGTTTAGATGCATTTGTCGTACATTTTGATATTAGTGTTTCAGAATTGCCCTTTCATTTCTCTTTGTTTCTTTTGCATTTATCCTGATGTATTTGTTTTTTTTTATATTGTGAACTGCTCAGAATCGGTCCATATTTGGCCAGCACCAAAATTGAATTCATTCATTAAATAGCGATCTTCAGCAAACCCAGACACCTCATTGTTTATGTCAATTGCAGATAATTTATGAGTACTGTAAATTTAAAAAATCATTAATCCCAGCAATGCCCTGATCCTTCAGTTTACAAAAATCAATACTCCTCCCCCCCCGTCTTTCTAATTAAATTAGCTTAATAACTAATGTTCTTCTCAAACTTCTAGGTCCACTCAGTCTTGTGAGTACTTTTGTGAAAAGCCCTTTGTAAATCCAATACAATTGATCTTGTAGATAATCATCTGAATCCGTGTTTGGTGACATTCTCATGAAGAGTTTATGAGATTGAACATTATCTATGGAAAATACAATTTCCTATTGAATTTTTTTTATTTGGGGTATGTAACTTTTTTTTTCATTAAGGCAACAGTCTAGAATCCGCGAAATCGTTCTAATTCTAAGTTAGGCATGAGGGTGGCTGGGTAACTTTGGGCCAATCTCTCTTTCTCAGCCCAATCAAAGTTATTGTTATGGGGAAAATGGGAGGAAAGAGTATTAGAATATGTTTGCTGCCTTGAATTATTTATAAAAATAACACAGGCAGGATTTTAAAAAATGTTTCATCATTTTCCATGTGCCTTAAATATAAGTCTGTTTTTAATGTCTCTGGGAAACAATAGCTAGAATTATCCTGACAAGACTAAATATTCTCTTCCCTCTAGTGAAACAAGTTTATTTCATAAATGATTCTTAATCAAATACCAAATGAAACGATAGTTGCATTGTGTCTTCCTGTTTTTAAGAATATAAATGAATGCAATATATGTTGCTTAGGAATTTACTCTTTTAATAGTTCTACAAAATGGTAAAATTAACTATGGCTTTTCCTTGCATTTGAAACACGGTTGCTTTTTAGTAATATGTGGAAGATAAATGAAGTTTATAATTCAGAAGCTCGGGACTAATATTGCATGGAATCTTTTTTGAATGTGAATCAGCAGGTCTTTTAATTTTTTTAGTTGGTGCTATTGTTCCAATAGCAAGCTTTACTTCTATTGTCCAGTGTTTGTCCAGCTCACGTTTACTGGACTGTGGGAACGGATTAGGGTTTCATGGTTTCTTCCCCCTTCTTGCATAAATGCTTGATCAAAGACATTCCTTGGATGACAAAACACTGTATACTGTGTCACACAGTCCTGACCAGACTGCATGAACAGTAGCTTAAAAACACATGCCCACATTGTTCTCTAACAAGCTATTCCTTTTTTCTTTATTAAAAAAGGACGACAAATTTAGATTTAGGCACTTAAAAAAAATAAAGACTTAATGTGCTACTTTATATGCATACATCTATATCTTATCTGTCTTCCTATCAATCTGATTGTTTCTACAAATGCAACTGCACACAGTAAAATCAAAATAGAAATTGTGAATGATTATTAATCTATAGTCATGTATTAAATTTGATACCATTTTCTTACCCTGATTTCATTGTAATGATTCTGAAGCAGCTTGCAATAGAATGTAGCATTTAAATGCTAAATATTTACATGTGTCTGGTTGGAAAAGGAGCAAAGAAAAATGCTGAAATGGGAATTGGGAGTGATGTTAAAATCCCTCTCTGATGTTTTGGTGTTACTACTATCCTCACAGCCTATAGCAGGGGTCTTCAAACTTGACAGCTTTAAGACTTGTGGACTCCAACTCCAAGAATTTCCCCTTTAGTCATGTTAGCTGAGGACTACTGGGAATTGAAGTCCACAAGCCTTAAACTTGCCAAGTTCGAAGACCCTTGGCCTATAGAAAATGTGGAAAAAAGTTTGCCTGTCTGATGTCTAGGAAGATTTCTGCTGACTGTCATTGGATGTAATTGTTACTAAAGCACTTTCTCCTGGTTTCCTGCCCTGTGATTGTTATACTTGTTTAGTCATTCAGTGTTTCCAAAACCTTGAAGAGTGCCATGTCACCAGGACTCTCAGTAACTCTTTGAATTATAAGAACATGTTTGTGTCATTGAGTATAGCACCTAATCCATCTTGTTTTCTGTTGGGCTCTTTAATTTTCCCTCAGAAATCAGTTTCTTCTTTAATGACTATAGTCTTTGCATTAGGTGTCCAACTTGAACTATAACTCATAATTCTTAGACTGACCATTGTTGTGCTGGCTGGAAACTTTGAAATTGTAATCCAACCCATTAGGATGGACTTAAAAAAATAAAGGCTTGATCTAGGAAAAGGGTCTTCAAACTTGGCAAGTTTAAGACTTGTGGACTTCAACTCCCAGAATTCCTGAACTAACATGACCGGAGGAGGAATTCTGGGAGTTGAATCCACAAGTCTTAAAACTGTCAAGTTTGAAGACCCCTGATCTAGGATGACATGGAATAAATAAATCTTGTGTGCAGTTTCAAAAGATTTTCCTAGTTATAAAAACTGCTAAGGAAATATAAAAAATGGCCCACCTTTAATGATAAATATGTTAATGGTGCTGTTTTGCTGATAGTAAGTGGAGATGTGTAATTTGAAACAGCAGTTTCAGGTCTGAATGTGTTCTGACTTTACTAAAAATGTTTGAAGCTGTTCCAATCATTCTCCATGTTTCAATTCAAGTTCCAAATGGGTGTTTTGAAGTTGAAGCTGAGCTGCCCAAGCTTGGGATGGATTGTACTCTGCCATTCATGTGTCAGTTTT